GCCCCAAACCGGCTCTTCCGCACCAAGGGCTGCGTGGACGGTGGGGTTTTGCCGCTCTCCCGACGGCACGAACGAGAAAAGACAAGAGGCGTTTCAAACCCACGTTTTACTGATTTACCCCGAAGCGAGTCGGGGGGTTTACACTACGGCGGCAGTTTAGAGGCAGGAGGGTGCCCTTCTTCGCTCGGCCGTCGCTCCTCTCAGCCTTCGCTTCCCTCTTCCCGAAAAAAAGAGAAACACACAAATATAAATACAAGGTAGAAAGTTCTCCGGGGGCGGGTGGCGGCGCAGGACCCGCACGCCTAGTCCAGGTCGTTGGCCGTGTCTTCGTCTGTGAGACTCTGTCCGTTCACAGCCGGTAAATCATAGCGGCCTTGGGATAAATCCTCGAAATCCTGACTCATGGTGGGAGAGATGATGTCAGGGCTGGTGTCGCAGGACTCCGTGCTCTGCTCAGAGGTAGCGATGGTGGTCGTCGTGCTTTTCGGGACGGGGTCGAAGTCGTCGTCGTCTTCTAGGATGGGAGATTCGCGGATGTCTGGAAGGGAAGACGCAAACGTTAGTTTTCCTGCTGCGGCCGCACGAGAGGAGGCGCTGCCGGCGCAACGCCAGAGCCGCCCCAGCAGAAGAATTTGCTCGTTGCCAATTCTAAATTTTATCTGCTTGTAGCAGTGATCAATAAAAACGCCGCCGCCGCTTAAATTAGCGGCCGCTTGTAACTCCTTGCGACCGCGTTTGAGATAATCAAGGAGCTTTCCGGGCTTTTAGCGCAGCAGCGGCCCAGCGCTGGCGCGCGCCTGGACGTCTCGTCGGCTTCTCCCGCCTGCCGAGAGCCGCCTCACGCGTTCTCGGGGAAAAGGGACGGGAAGAAAACCGACGGAAAAATCCGCGCGTCGGAAGGAATCACTCACTGCTGAAAGCCTCCGGGTACTGCTTCGCCAGCTTCCCTGTCAGCGTCCTAGGGGAGGAGAGAGCGAGCCCAGCTCACGGGGAAGCCGACAGACCCGCGGCTGAGCCGCTCGGCTGG